CTAATAGGCTTCAAAACTTTCATTGCTCCACAATGTTTTGGGCCTTAAGGTATAACTTAATTTAGACTCTTATCAAAACCTGATATAACTTAGTATCTAGTGCACCGATATAGGAAACATAACATATGCATGGTTCATGCAAAGACCGCTGCCAATCCTATACATACAATACATGTACATCTTATTCTTATACACGTATTTGCATACCGAAAAAAAAAACTCATGTAGATAAGTAATATTGACTGAGTATGAAAAATGGGTTTTCGGAATAATCATTTTCTCAAGATAATTTTTGGCGGCTTTTATTCCTCACACATCAAATAAGAAAATGGGGGGTACTTCCTTATTTACATTGTAAACTTAAGTAAATTGAGTAATATAAAAATAAATAAAAGTAAAATGACAAAGATATTTACTTAAATGCTGAAAATGGAAATAAGGTAATCTGTACACCGCCACTGACTGGACTAATATTGAAAATAAGTTAAATATATAAATATATATATATTTTTTCTTAAAAAACCACACTGGGCTACAGTGTAGCCCTTAGTGTGGTTCCGCCCTTGCAAACGGGGTAGTTTTGCCACACAAAAAGCCACAAAGAAAAGAAGAAGAAAAAAAACAAAAAACAAATCATGAAGGTTGTAGGCTCATTGGGTGTGGCTCTATGCTTGTTCTTGGTCGTAGGTGTTTTGGTTGAGGTGGTTCCAATGGCAGAAGGGAACACGACGCCGAGCCAATGCAAGCAGGAGACGGACCTTCTGGTGAGTGCATGCAAGAGCGCAATGATAATAGCCTATTATTAATAGGGCTCAAACCCTCTGCAAACTGCTGCCAACGTGTCAGGGTGACACATGTTGAGTGTGCGTGCCCTTATGTCACCCCCAAGGTGGCCAATCTGATCCCTCTCGGCCGTACGATTAAGCAGATTGAAGGCCGTGGAAGAAGCGTCCCTCGCAACTTCAAGTGCGGCAGTGAGTAGTTCATCTCCTCCCTCTTCTATCATATCTTGCTCTATGAGATGATGACCTAATTAATCTTTAACATGAATTGATTAATGTTGACAAAACAAGATCATCAGCACTAATTAAATATATATATATAGAGTAATTGCTTTATTTGTGTGTAGCTGATCTGATTACTTTGGTTAATCTTATTTTTTCCAGGTATCACCACTCCACCATGAGAAGAAGGACGAATATTATTTCTAGCTACAAGAATACATTATTATGCTTGATTATCAAATAAAGAGTCATCTTAATTAGCTTTCTTTCAAGCTAAGAGTTACATAAATTTGAAGTGCACAATTCATGTGCACTTATGTAATACATGTATGACTTTCCTCAAATAAAAGTGAATTATAAGATGTCTCCTATATATTCCAATATTGACACAATTGTTCAATCTCAACCGTCTATCTATTCAAGGAAATTTATGTTTTGTTAAGTATTAGTTATGAAGCTCTAATATCAGCCATCCATTAGGTATGTTAGTAGCTAAATAAATTTTTAATGTATACCATACATGCAATCCAATGGCCGAAATTAGAAGTCCTTGACCAATCATTAATGAAGCCAAACCTATGATTGCACTTAGAGAATTGAAATAATTTTCTTTAGTTTTCTCATTTTATTGGAATAATTTTCAAGGACTTTGTTGCCTGACTAAAAATTTTAATTTTATTTTGGTATTATTCATATATATCGAATTGGTCAAGGAATTGACCCTACAGTCCAAGTCCTCTCAAGTCAAGGTTGAACCAGTCCCAGTAGTAGCAAGTACGTACATGAAGGGCATATATGGGATAACGGAAAATATCAAAGTTGGTAAACCATATCTTCTCAATCTATAAAAAGGGTGGTGTGTATGTACATGAGTTATAATATTACTAATGCTAGAAATTAAAGCATAACAAATTATTAAGAAGGAAAAAGAAAAGAATAAATTATGTGAGAGCAGGTGGTTGCGATATATGGTTATTGTGGTGGTGCTTGGTGGTGGTGGTGGCGGAGGCTTTGATGGTGAAGGGGGACACGCGCCATAGCCAGTGCAAGGAGGAGAACAACCCTCTTCTTAATGAGTGAAAGCAAGTTTTTATGGGACATAAAGCCTGCCTAAATGCATTTTGAGTGTGTTTGCCCCCACGTCACTCTCAAGCTTGCTAATTTGATCAACGTCCCGCATACCATTAACCAAATTCAAGCTTGTAGAAAACGATTCCCTCACAACTTAAAGTGTGGCAGGCAGGGTCGGTTTTGAGAATTTGTGCCCTTGCTTGTCATACCGGAAGAAGCTTGGAGCTTAAGTGAGTACACTATTTATAAATTTAAAAAAAAAAAAAGAAACCCAAAGTGCAGCTGCACGACTATACTCTTTAAATACATTATATTTAAAAGGTATAGCCGACGGCTATACTATTTAATAAAAAAAATTGACAAGGAACCTCCAAGTTGCATTAGTTTATACTTTATAGATATTAATTTGCTAAATTCAACATATCCAAAGTAGATATTGAAGAGAGAGAAATTTCACAACAAATCAATCTGAGAGTTCAATTTTTACATTTTTTTTTTTCTGTGTAAATTTTACAGTAAATCAATAGAGACTTGGATAATGACATAATAGTAATAGATAATCCCCTAAACTACTCTTACCTATAAAGGAAAATTAGGGAAAAAAATTTAAAAGAAAAAAAGGAGCCCTTATGTCAAAATAGGTATAGCCGCATTGCTATCCTATTATTTTTAAAAAAAAAAAAAAAAAGAGTAACGCCGCGAGGTATACGATTTAAAAATAATAATAAAACCGCGTATAGCCGCGTGGCTATACTATTTATAAAAATAAAAAAAACCCAGCAGCGAATAGGTGGCCACGTGTCAAACTCTATAGCCGTCTGGCTATATTATTTGTATTTTAAAAAGAAAAATGGAGTATAGCCGCGCGGCTATACTATGTTTAAAAAAAATTTTAAAATCGAGTACAGCGGACCGGCTATACAATTTAAATTTATACAAATTTAAAAAAAGACCCCCTAGCAAATAGGCGCGGCTATACTATTTTTTAAAAAAAATTAAAAAAAGAAGTACATCCGGCCGGCTATACTATTTTTATAAATAAAAAACAAAACCGAGTATAGCCGGGCGGTAGTTTAGAAAAATTAAAAAACCGAGTACAGCTGGTCGGCTATACGATTTACAAAAAATATAAAAGGCCCCGCTAACGTGTCAAAATCAGTATAACCGCACGGCTATACGTTTTTTCTTTTTCTTATTGAGGATCATGTGGCACATAATAATATATACTCACTAAAATTTTCAAGTGTAATAATATGAATTACATTTTAAAGTAATTAACTATGTCGAAAATTAGATCAAAATATACAAAAATGAAAAATCATTGCTAACCAAAACACCGTGCTCCTAGACGATAATAGGAGCAATTGAAGCAAATTGAGTTACAAAAATAAAATAAAATAATTGTTTGTTTTTTAAAAAAGAAAAAGAAAACTGAGGAACTAATAGCTGAGTGGCCACTGATAGCCAAACCCGCTCTCTCCTGCAATCCGAAGAAGAAGGCCCTCAAGGAAGGAAGCCCATCCATCCTCCTCCTCCTCTCCATGGCCACCGCAAACCTT